CCCTTCCCGCGGGCCTGCGCCCCTGTCATAAAGCCCTTCCTCCCCTCCAGGGCGGCGAGATGGAGCAGGTAGCATTGAGGTGCGAGCTCCCGTCCTGAGGGCCTGCGGGGCTCCCTGGCAGGGGCTGGGGTCGGCTGGGCTGGCCGGGGGGCCGGCGTGAGGAGCTGGCGTGTAAGCCCCGCTTTAGGGTCCGTCCATGTTTTCCCTGGACGGAGTTTTGATCTGATGTCCTCCCAGGTTCATTCAGAGGAGTATTTGTGCTCGCCCACGTCTGCGGCCCGTGCACACGGAGACTCTGAGGGCGCGGCCCCGGGGCACGCTCCCCTCTGCCTGGGGAAGAGGCCCACAGCACCCTCCCCAGGCCCGAACATTTTTAATGTAAAATAATGCCTAAAGAATGCTTGTCGACGAAGACAGTATTTTTTAAAAACATCGAATCAGTCCTAAATGTGTTGGCAGCAGGCACCAGAGCGCCTCCTGATTTATTCTCGCTCTTTCATCGGGTGAAAACCCAGCGCCGCTCCCTCCAGAGTTCTCCGAGTTCACATTATGTAAATATATGTACTAAAATATTTGCGTAGGGCTTCCATAAAAAAGGGCCAAAGGAGAGAATAAGAGCGCTTCTCTTTGCTGGTTTTAGAGGTTCTGCCGGGAGTTCTGAGTGAAACCTAAGCCTCTACGGTGTGTTATGGTTGGCTGCCCTCGTGTTTCATCTCCCGTAATGAACTCTTTGTCAGTTTGTCAATTTTGCCTAAGGACAGAAAGTTCATGTGTAGTAACAACACAGACGGAGATTTAAATTATGGTTTCCATCATGATGTAATAATCCTCTCTCTTTTCCTTTAGTCAATATTTACCAGATAGGCCAATATATTACAATTCTGACTTCAAAGACGACGCTTTATTTTACCTTCTCCAAGTGTCGGTTTCAGATACTTGTAATATCAGAATTGGAAGCTGAGCCGTCTGATCATTTCCTCGATCTCCCAGGGCAGATTCCCCTGCGGCCCGTGGCCCAGTGTGAGCTGCGGGGCCCTCAGGAGGAGGCTGCTGAACTCTGGGCCACACCATCCTCGCAGCCTCCAGACGGCCGCTCCTCTGTGGGAATTAGGGCTGTTACATGATCCCAGAGCAGCTCCATCTCGCCGGTGGAATCAGGCTTTCCCTAATGCAGTGAGGTGATAGTCCTGGTGGAAATGCCGAGTGGATGCCCGTGGAAGGGCGGCCTCTGGGTGTGAGGCAGATGAGGAGGGGGTTCTCTTCGTCCTCTTCGTCCTTACTTTAACCACATTTAAACATTTCTCCATTCTGAAAACTAAGGGGGGACCCCCCCCCAACACACACACAAAGTGGAGAATGAATGGGGAGCCTCTGAGGCGCTAGAGAACTCACAGGTCGTATGTGCGTGCCGGGTCTGTTGTCTGGGGCGGCAGGAGCTGAGTCCAGGCCTTGTCCAGTGAGTCACAACCAAAAGCGAATCGGCTGATGCGTGAACTGCCGAGTCCCAGGAGGCAGGCTCAGCTGGACCCTGGAGTTTAGGTGAAGTCATCTTTATTTCCTCACACTAGTGTTTTCTTGTCTTTGTTGTTGTTGTTTGTTTTTTTTTTAGGATTTACTATGCCTGCATTTTATACAACTTACCTTACTTTTCTGTATTTCTCCCCACCATCCTTCCTCACTAACTCTCTAACTCTTCCTCCGCATTGCTCCCTGTTAGTACCTGCTGGTTGTCTAATCATCGGTTATGTTTTCTTTCAAGATGTATTTATTCATGTCTACAAGAACTGGGGTATAGGCCAGAGGTATGGGCAGTGAGAGGATTCCCCAGAGACAGAGTGGGGAGCAAACACTACTGAAATCCACTGCTGAGGGGAGCAGTGGGGAGACAGGAGAGGTCTGCCGCGCCCTGTGGCTCACTCCCTGGCGGGGTCAGACTTGTGCCACAGTGGCTGTGGATCACTTCACCGTGGTGCACTATAGCCTTCTACACCACCAGGGAGGCCTCTCCTCTGCTGTTAATGCCCAGTACTTCTGTTTTTAGTTGCTTTACTACATGGACATCTCTCAAGCTCTTTCCATTGTGCTGTAAATGGCAACATGTCATCTTGCCTTATGGCTGTATAATATTCCATACAGTGGCTAGACCACATCTCCTCGCCCAGTCAGGGAGGCTGCTCCCGTGGCCTGGCTGTTGTCAGTAATGCGGCAGCAGACATCAGAGAGCATCTCATTTTGGGATTGATGCTTTCAGGTTCTTTGGCTAGCGATGACTGGGTCCTATCGCTTCCATTTTTACTCTGTAGAGGTAGATCCGGATGACCTTCCAAGGCGACTGCGCCGACTGCAGTTCCCACCTGCAGTGCAGAAGGCTTCTCCTCCCGACATTCTCTTCTGTACTTGCTGCTGGGTTCTTTGTGATCCGTGTCATCCTTGGGGGTGTGACATGAGATTTCATTGTGGTTTGACTTGCATCACCCTTATTATAAGTGATGATGAACGTTTTTTCATGAATCTGTTGATCTTCTGGGTATCCTCTTTGATGAATTATCTGGCGAATCACTTGTAAATTGGGTTGTTTGGGTTTTTTTAATTGTTAAATTGTAAAGTTTTTATATATTTGGGGTATTGTGTCAGTTGTGTAATGTGTAAATATTTTCTCGCATTCACTAAGATATCTTTAATCTACTTACATCTTCTCTCCCTGTGTAAAAGCTTTTTCATTTGAGGTCATCCCAGTTGTTTGGTTTTGCTCTTATTTCCTTTGCCAGATGGGACAAGTCCCCCCAAACATCTTTATCATTGTTGAGTCATAAAACATATCACCACTGTTTTCTTCTCTGATTTTTATGGGTCTTTTATAGAAGTCTTTCGTTCATTTTGAATTTATTTGGGTGCTTGGCGTTCGAGAGTGACCAGCTTCATTCCTGTACATGTGGCATCCAGTTTCCCCAGCACTGTTGGGGATAGGCTCTCCTCGCCCCGTTATGTGGCCCTGGGTCCCTTGTCATGAATTGAACATTGATGTACATGGATTTCTGGGCTTTCAACTTTCTCCCATTGATCCATGTGTCTTTTTTTTCTTCTTTTGCCAGTGCCATATTATTTTAATTATTCTTGCTTTATAGTATAGTTTAAGTCAAGTAATGTGACGCCTCTATTTCTCAGGATTGCTTTGCTATTTGGGGCCTCTACCATGCCATGTACATTTTAGCATTTTTTGTTCAATTTATCTGAAGAATACTGTTGGTATTTTAGTGGGGATTGTATTCAATTTATATATTGCTTGTGCCTGAATAGTCTTTTTGACTAGATTGGGTCTCCGGCCGTGAGCATGGAATGTCTTTTCACTCCCTTCTGTCGTGATCTACATCCTTCAGTAGCATCTAGTAGTTTTCATTGTATGAGTCACATCCTTGGTTAGGTTAATTCCTGGGTATTTGAGTCTTTTTGAAGTGATTATAAATGGAATTGTTTTCTTGGTTTCTTTTCTTCTCATTTATTAGCTCCTAAGTTAGCATGGCTGTGTGGCAGAGCTGTCTCCCTGGAAGCTCAAGGCCTGCAAGAGTCTCTCCTTACCGCCCGGCATCCGGGGACACAGAGCCCTTTCCCAGAGTGCGTATGAGTCTCTGTAGATAGAGGCGGACTCAGTCGCTTCAGTGAGGACTCAGACTCAGTCACGTCCCTGTGCCCGATCCGGCGTGGGGACAGCTCGGGTGTGGCGGCGGGTGCTAAGCATGCAGTCAGCGTGCACCAGCCCGCTCTGTGCTCACACCGTCTGTGTGCGTCTGTGTGCCTGAGGCGCTCCCGTCGCCATCCACACGTGTCCACACGTGTGCTTTTTCCATTTTGTGCATTTTCACGTTTGTCAGAGCACTTGCGCCACGTGTCTTGGGTTCCACCGGCCTGCGTCTGGCCTTCTCTGGCAGAACTGCTGAGGAAGGCCGGGCCTGCTCTTCCAGGAGGGGCAGAGCAGTGCTAAGAGGAGGGAACTGGGTCTTTTACCACAAGGAAAAAGGGCAGCAGGCAAACAAGCTGGTTGTTAATTCACTTGCTCAGCAACCCTCAGCGGGTACCTGCCGCGTGAGGTGTCCTTCCAGGCGGCCGACCTCGGTGGACGTTACACAAAGGCCGTGTCTTGCCAGAGCCTACACCGTGGGGAACGAGGCAGGCGGTAAAAATGAAGCCGCTAAAGTATGACAGGCGTTTGGTCATGGAGGCCAGAGGAGAGCGCACTGGAGACCGCGGCGAGCCTCTTGGCCCACCGCTGCTTCAAGCAGGGCCGGTGGGGGAGCCGGGCAGCGGCGCTTATCCGGGTGTCTCTCTCTGTTCACCCACATAAGGCGAGAGGAGTGTGATAGGCTGCTTCTGTTGAGAGTCCCCAAGCGTGAGAAGAGGCTCAGGCCAAGCAGGCATCCGCCTGGGAGGCGCACAGGGGCCCCGGGAGGGGACGCGCCTCCCCCCGGCAGCCGCACAGGGCCGTCCTCCAGACGGGGGGAGGCCTCGGGCTGGCCGGGAGGGGGCGAGGCCAGACGAGGGTGTGGTAACAGGCCAAGGTGTGGCCGCACCAGGTCCTCGGGCGGGGAGCCCCCGGCAGCGGTGCGGGGGCCGGTGGGAGGGGACACGTGGGAGTGGGAACCAGCTGCGGGGCTGAACGGGGCTGTGGCCAGACAGGACTGGGACCAGTTCGCTTCTAATGACCAGTGTGCTGCACGTTGTTGATGTCCACCCAAAGGCAAGAAGCAGCTTGTGAAATGGTTACAGTTGTTCAGAAATGGTAAGCATGCTGTGAGAAATGAGTAACGTTTGCTCGGCATAAAACTCTTACACCTGTTGGTGAATGGCAGGAAAGGAATAGGGCCAGGCGCGAGGTGGGCGGAGCCCGGGGAGGACCCTGCAGAGCGGCCTGGACTCCCAGTCAGCCGGGCACCTGCGTGCTCAGGCGCATCACGGGAGGACTGGGCTGGTCCTGCGGGCTGACTCTCCTTCTTGTGCATTCGCAGGCACCTTTGAAGTGGGGGTTCACATTGCTGACGTGAGCTACTTTGTTCCCGAGGGGTCCGACTTGGATAAAGTGGCGGCTCAGAGGGCTACAAGCGTCTACTTGGTCCAGAAGGTAAGCGTCATCCTCTTTTCCCTTGGGTTGTAATCCATGCTTCTATTTAGCCTTTCCTCTCTTTTTAAAAAAGTTCACAAGGAGCTTGTGTGCACCGCCTCTCCCACTTCCAGTGAGGTATTACAGAAAGAAAGAAAAAAGGTTTCCCTGGAAAGTCTCGCCTTCCGTGGTCCCATGCTTTCCTGCTAGGCTTCTGTGTTCAAGAAGCATCGAGGCGAGGCGTGGTGTTCACCTCCGGCCCATGACCGGCCCAGCACCCAGGAACCAAGCGGTCAGCATGCCGGGGAAATGAGGAAGGATCACGGTGTTCAAGCTCATGCTCCCCCGCGGGCCGGCCCACACCAGCCAGCGCGTGAGCAGATCTGTGGTAACAGGTGTGCCTGTTCACTTCTGTACATCTGTGGCCCTGGCCCACTCTGACAGGAGAATGCAATGAAACGCACTGTTGGCCTGTCACGAAAACGTTTGAACCCTTGTTCTGAAGGGCGGAGGCCGGTCTGGGCCTACCTGCCCTCCCTGGATAACCTGGAGATGCAGAAGATGTTGAAGCAGGGCGGGGCCTGGGCACCTCCCCCTGGTGGAGTGCACTCTCTGCGGACCACCTGCAACACGTACTTGGGGAGCGCGTTATGTGTCAGGCCTGCCTGAGGCCCTGAGACCACGGCGGAGCTCCTGCCTCCTTCCCCGGAATGCAGGGCCAGGGTGTCCTCCCGCCTTCGACCCCATTCACCCGCTCCCCTGACTCCTCTGCTTTCGCCGTCTCGTGACTTAACTTCCTGGAGAGGCGGAAAGGCCCTCATCTGAGCCCTGACCCTTGTGACCTCGGTCTGGAGATGTGTCTGCAGGACGGCAGTCTCCTGCCCTGCAGATTGCTGACCACAAGGGCTAGAGAAGCTCGTGCTCCTGGCCACCCAAACCCACACTTCCCGCCATGCCCCCAAGTGGGCTGGCTCTCTTGTGGACATGCTGTCTAACCACGGCTCGGGCAGCTGCTAGAGCCCCTTGTGCTGCTCCCCTGGAGAGCCTGGCATTACAGGGCAGGGAGAGGGGCACCACTGAACCCCCAAACCTGCCTGTTCTAGATAGGTTCTGCCATCTGCTGCATCAAGACAAAACATGTAAGAGTTTAATGAAAAGGAACTTTAATGCAGTGAGTGTACAATAGGGAAGACAGAGAATGTAATGTCTAAATCAGACACCTGAAGTGACCCGTCCCCTCGTGGGCAAAAGTCCACCCCAAAGGGATGGGCCAGAGCCAGGCCTGAAAGCTGCCACGAGACTAAAGCACCTTCTGGCTGGACCCATGGAAAAGGGTCAGACATGGCCAGACGAGGAAAAGACCACCATCAAAATCAGTATAAACACTGCCACAGCCACCTCCCCGCGGGTCTCTCACCCACATCTATTTCAGCCAGTCCAGGGCCAGGAAACAAGCCCGGTTTCTTCCTCACATGCTCGCTGCTCCGTGTGGCTTCCTCAGGTCTCCTGGCTCTCCTTCCTGCTGCCTTCTCAGATTCCTTCTCTTCTTTTCTCTGCTCTGCTCCACCCTCCTTCTGGGTGGGGCAGGGAACCTGGAACTTCCCCTTTTCCCGGGGACCCCCTGTTACACTAGGGTCCCAGGAACCCAGAGTCCTGACCGTGTTGGGCCCTGGCATGGAAAGAGGGATGCACCCTGCCATGCTGAAGGAGGTAGTGGATCGTCAGAGAGTTGACGTCCTCCTAGTTCTGTGTTTCCCAGCTAGCGACCCGGAAACTGCCCTTCACATCAGTGCGCCCCCTGCGTGGCCCTGTGGCACCAGTGCGCCTCCTGCGTGGCCCTGTGGCACCATACCCGCCACCTCCCCACCACTGCCCAGATACTCTGTGAACACACCAGCTGCCAAGACTGTTGAGACACAGAGTCAGAGGGCTGTGTCCATCCTCCAGATGCATAGCTGACCAGGACCCACGGTTAGAAATCTCCCGGCTGTTAGATTTTACTCTCCTTTCAGCCCAGAAGCCAGGCTCGCAGGCAAAGATGTCAGCCTGTGTGGGGTGTCTTCACCTCACCCTCTTTCCCGGGGAGCACTCTGCAATGACCTCAGTGGGCCAGCATCTAAGGTTCCCACCCATTCCACAGACCCAAGGCCTTCTGTAGCCCAAGTCCTGCGGGACTTCCAGACATACCTCTGCCAGGTCCATAAACCATAAGGTCATTTGGCCTTTGAGTGCCTCAGCCATCTGCTAGCAATAAAAGCACCAAATCTCTACTGAACAGAAAGCTCACCACACAGCAGAATTGTTCATTTCCCCAGCCTGTGCAGCTCCAGCGCTCCCCGGCCCCTCACACGCGGGGCCTGGCACCGCAGGCCTCAGGCTGCCCCGAGAAAGTCTCAGGCCCTGGACGCCGTTCCAGCAGGATGCGCCCTCGTGCCCAAAGAGGACTGGCAGGTGCGAAACAGAAGTCCTCAGACAGTCCAGAAGTTACGGGACTCCTGCCATTGACCCGGCATTACTGAGAGCTCCGTCTTGTCCACCCCAGTAACTAACATCTTGAAAGGAAAGGGACAAAAATTAGATCTTAAAGTAAAACACAAGCCTATAAAAATCCTAGAAGATAGTACAAAGAAAATCTACATGACTTTGGTTTGGTGATGACTTTCTAGATACACCGCAGTGAATTTCTATGAAAGGGGAAATTACTAAGCTCTGGACTTCATTAAAGTTCCACATTTCTGCTCTGCAAAACACACTGTCAAAGAATGAGAAGACAGGCCATGAGAGGGGAGAAAATACCTGTAAAAGATGTACCTGATAAGGACGGTTATCCGAAATGTACAGAGAGCTCTTAAAACTCAACAGTAAAAAAGTGGAGCACGTTAGGGATGGATGGCCCAGGGCCCTCTCAGGCGCTCGGCAAAGAGGGGAATAATAAGCTCGGGAAGAGATGCTCCGTGGCATATGGTGTTACGGCGATAATGTTCGAGGGCTGTGAGGCGCCAGCATACACCCTTGCGATGGCCAGAGCCCAGGACACTGGCCACAGCAAGTGCCGGCGAGGACGTGGACAGCAGGAGGGAGTCTACCTGCCGGGGAGAAAGCAAACAGTGTGGCCACTTGGAAAACATTTTTGCTGGCCCCTGTGCAGCTCAGCCTGTCCCACAGCTCAGTCCGGCTGTCCTGCTTCCCGCTATGCACCCAAAGGTCACCCAGAAAGCTGCTCGCGGATGTTTTTAGCAACTTTGTTGGTGTCTACCAAAACCTAAAGGCAACCAGCAAGCCCTTCGGCAGGTGGCTGGATAAACCGTGTGTGGTCAACCAATGGGGATGTTATTTGCACTAAGAAGGTAGCTCTCAAGCCCTGGGAAGATGCTAGTGAAGGAAGCCAATCTTTAGAAGTTATATACTGTGTATGACTCCAAGTATGTGACATCCTGGATAAGACAAAATTGTGGAGAGTATAAACAACGGGCCGGGGAGGAGGTGATTCTTCTAGCCTGTACTGCAGCCCCCAGGAGCTGGCGATCCTGATGCCTGGGACCACGTTCTGCTCCCCCATCCGGTCAGCACAGTCGTTGGCATGGCAGTGACGTCTCCCACCCCGCGGTGAGGTTGCCCTCCTGCGCCGCAGGGATTAGCACAGACGTGCATTGTCCCAGGAGGCAGCCGGACTTGTCTGTGAAGCCACAGAGGCCCTCGCTGAGAAGGCCCCTCGTCTCTGGGTCCCTGCAGCCTCGAGCATTTGGACCAAGCCTGTGCTGCATCTGCTCCGGGAGTGTCAGCATCTGGTTTCCTCGGGGCCTCAGCCTCGCCTGCCTCATCCTAGGAGCCGGAACTGACATCCGTTAATGAGAGTCCAGAACACACCGAGCCAGGCGCTGCACGGTCGTCCCCACCCACTTACTGCAGACACCGTGTCACACGCAGGAGGGCCTGTGTGTGCGTTTGTGCAGAAAGGTGCAGAGCCTGCAGCCAGAGGCCGCTGGCTCTCTTTGCCCAGGCAAGGGATATCCTGCACCGGCCTTAGCTAGCGCCAGAGAGGCTTCGTCCCTGTGAGGACCCCATGAAATGATCTTCCCCGCGTAGATTCAGATGTTTAAGAACTTCGGACACGATTTGAGGTTCTTCTAAGCAGGTGGCTTTCTCCTTCCCAGCTGCTGCATTCTTTTATAACCAGGAATGATGTTTCAGAATCAGAAAATGGAAAAAAAAAATGGGTTAAATAACTAAGCATATTTACTTTTCTGTTCTCTCTGGTTTTGTGATTGTTACAGTTTCTAGAATTTCTGTTCAGGACCAACCACAGAAGTGGGATTCTGCTGCTAAGCTCCGAGAGCAGGCAGCCGGGTGGAGGAAGGCGCAGGACCCGGAGAGGCGGAGCCCCGCGTCCTGGCACTGCCCCAACCTGGCAGGAGCCAGTGGTGCTGCCCGCGACATGGGCAGCAGCTGGGCATTCTGATTCCTTCGCACCACCGCCCTGACCTTTCTTCCTGCTCGTTTGCTTCCCAAAGGACCGTGTCCAGGAGCCTTCCTGCTGTTTTCCTGTGCCTGCGAAGGCCTTCTAAAAGTGGGGTGAGCTGCCCTCACCTCCTGCCGGTCCCTGCTTTCTCACTTGGCAGGCTTGTGTCTCCCACTCACCTCCGAGGGGGAGGAGAGCGTGGGGTGGGGGTGCTGTTGACTTGCCAGATTGGGGGATGTGGCTCTCGTTTCATTGCGCCTGTTGACTACGTGGCCGATGTCCGTGGGTCCAGGCTCCAGCCTATAGTTTAGATGAGGGACTGTGAGACAGGCCTGAGGGCCAGGGACCAGCTTGCTGCCCTTGCAATGCAGTTCTTTCTCCTTGGAATCACTGCGTACTCAGGAGGGAACATAAATGTCAACATTTTCTATTTCAAGCCTCAACATTTGCTATTCAAAAGTCTCTTTTGGGCCAAAGATGGATACCGGGACATCTTTCCACCCCAGCAAGGCCCCGCTCAGAAGGTGCAGCGCTCACCGCATTGGCTCTCCAGCTGCCTTCT